TTAGCACATGTTGTGTCAAGTTTTTCATCCTTCCCAATGGGTTTAGCATGGGTTGAACGATCCCGACTGGAGGGTGCGGAAGAAACTCGAGAATTTTTCATCCTCAGACGCTGGCGGTAATGCTTTTATACACTACCACTTTCTCTGAATTATGATATAACTTTCAAAGGTTGTTACTCTTTAAGCGCTCCTACTTTTGTAAAGCTCTTTCTGAGAAGTCATAGAAGGCCTAATGACTTTACAGTTGTACGCCTGCTTGTAAACTTTACGATCCAGTAAGAAAAATGATAGTTGATTTTAAAAAGTACGGCTCCCATTTACTTTCTTGCTGGAGTTATGTCCTGTCATTCTTGCAATACATCAGGGACGCTTCCAAGTCATGTAATACAGAGTCAAATATAAGCATGTACACCAGTCGAATAACACCGTAGTCCACAGGCCGCTTGATCTGCGAATTACGAATATAAAAGCTTTTCGAATATTTTTTATCCGTTTCCTTGGCACAGTGTGCCTCCCAATATTTTGCCTGCAAAATTCCAACCTCACATAATGAAATAGAATGGAGGACCGGTCAAAAGCATTACCAGTCCAGTTTATGGGTTGGATTCCCGATTTAGTTACTTACGTTTTTACCATCACACAGTTTAGTGGACATCGAAAGGCATCTTCTAAAGGAGGGGTATTCCACCTCTGGAAGGAAGGGTATTCCATCCTTGACATCGGAAGACCTTACAGTTCATCGTATAGGTAGACATCTTTCTGAACTTCTACATTGAAGTTGAATGTATGGCGCATCCCGGAAATGACGTCAGTAACTTATTTGATCTTATCTTAGCATCTACACCGTTCGGATTTTGTATTTCTTATGTTCACAGCAATGAACTGCTAAGGACCTCTCGAGTCGAGGTCACCGCAGAGTACAGTATAATTAGAGCATTATGATCGTATTCACTTTGACATATCCTTTATCGAGTCCGACATTCTCCACACACCGACATCCGGTCCTCGTTGAAATATGAAGATGACTGGAAAGCAAGGTGGACCGTCTACCTGCGACCTGCTAACCTCACTTCGAAGACTCTTCGGCGCCGTACTTCATCCTCTTCTTTCCTACTGCGCTTCAACTTTTTTCATTTTAAACTAGAATTTTACGCCATTCCACCAATAAGTTGTAGTAACCCGGATGTGGAGAAGATTAGGTCCGACATATGTAGTGTGTCGCAGGTATACTGAGTCTGGCCCTTGACAAAGTGCTCAAAAATTCGAAAAAACAGCTACCCTGTTTTGACTGGAAATAGTTTTTTTTTTCAATCTGGCGTTTCTTTTTGCTGGAACTCGTCTTTTTGTTTTGTTTTCAGACTTTAAATTTCTCTTCTAGCAGTGAAGCCCCTTCCCCCCCGCACCCACCCCCCTTTCCCTCTCCCCGGGAGGCTCTTCAAATCAGATTTTTTAAAAATTTCAGATTCCTCTATTTAGTAGTACATGTATTTTTATAAGTTCCACTTCAATGAGGACAACGCAATCCTTACGTTTCACTTAACAATAGGCCCTCCTTAGGGAATAGTTAATATTCATCGATTCCTTTTGTATTAAACTTTTTAGCTGGAAAACTGAAAGCAGAAAATACCGTAAAGCAGGGAGTACGGTACGAATTGATGATACCGTTTCCCGAACGTTTCATCACTGCCTCGAAATGGAAGAGAAGGTCTGAAGGACTTTCGCCCTAGACCGCTTTCAATCTTCATTAAACTTGCACCGCGCTTCGTCCATCCTTATCTCTAACTGATCTCTAAACGTATTCGCTAAAACTCTCGATTCTGTCTGTTCTCACTCTCGTGCTGGCGGTTTTTTCCGTTGATGACGTGGACACGTGCTATGGTGACGGTCAGCAACATATTGTCGTCGCTCTTGACCTTAGCCACCCGCTACGAGACTTTATGAGCACCTCATCTTTGGCGGCAATGCCTAACATAAAGAGAATTCCTCCCTTTATAACCAGTCATCTTTCAGATTCACCGGCCTTCACTATGGCTTGGGCCATAGTCTTACTGGTGCCATTAGCACTATGCCATGCACATTCCTATCAACGGCAAACATACGGTGAGTCGTTCAACTTGATTATTCTTATCTTTCTGATCATCTTAAGTCGACTCCATACCCAGAATTAGGGTGTGATTGACGACCTCGCGTAGGAAATGACTCCATACCCTTGCCATTGCAACGCAACCACACCCCAAACAGCCTTGAAAGCGACAGAGACACCATTCAACACTTCTTCATTTCTCTGATTTTGAGTAGCTCATCATAGCAAGGTCACGTAGTCAAACGGCAGCAGCGGATTTGCAAAAATCCTATCAATGGGACCATCAATGAATGCGTCCTTACTGGACGGAATTGAATGGACTGCTCAAAGAAGTGCAAGAGCGTTCCAGATTTCACGCCAAAATTGGGGCGAACAAAGACGTCCTTTTCAATTTTGACATCTCAAGGGGACTACAACTTAAAGGCACACTTCACGACAAAAATAGCTCATGGAATATCCCGCTAGTATAAATCTGTGACCCCTCGTTCATCACGGGACAATCTTTGATCCTTTATAACGCCTAGATAGTTCGTTATAAAGGATCAAAGATTGACCCGTGTGAAAGCGCGGATGAGTTTCAGTGGCACTGAAGAGGCTGCACCATTTACAAGGGAGCCCATGTAGGAAGTTCAAACAACTTGTGATGACCCATAGCGACAGTGAAAGGCAATACTGAACAGTTTTGGCTTGATGTAGTCTGCTCTCTGCGCAATCACAGCAACTGAAATCTCGTCTAAACACCTCTTCCATTTCACTTCGTCATGGTAATCTCGTACAACCTCTATTTTCACTCCTTTTCAGTTCGGCGAATTTCTTCGCCTCCTTCGCCACCGATGCACTATTCCCAACCCATACATCCGTTTTTCGTTCCGAGAGGGGTACCTCACAATTATCGTGAACTGTGCCTTTTGAAATTCGATTAGTACTATGTTAGCAGTCAGTCTGAGCCGATGGAAAAGCTCATAACTGCTGGCAATCTGCCTTGGGCTCGACCAGAACTGGTGAAGGATGGTCAGGACATCCTGTAGGGAGAGTCATGAGGAATTCACCGTCTCAACATTCAAAAAGCTGAAAATTCCAGTCAAACAGCCAGCAGCACAAGGCTCATTAAGTCATAGGTCGCAAATCTTCTTGTTGTCGGATCAGGTTCAAGGTTGGGTCTGGCCGGAACGTTCCGACAAACCGCATATCCGTGCTGGAAGGTGCTACGGAAAAACCGGAACAATGCAGTAGAACAACACCGGCTGGAGTTATAGGCTAAACGGCAGTTCCTGGTGACCGGCTCTGCTGCAACTGTGTCCTACCTGTGTCGCAGACTTCTTTCCCAACGATAATAAATTATGGCTTCCACAGAAAAGCCGTAAAAACCTTGCGAGCAGCTTAACTACCAGAACGAGTTGTCCTTCCGACGCATGCAACTGGCTCGTTTCCTAAAGTAATGATTACGAAAACGTTAACATTTTAAGACAAGGTCATAACCCATTGGACCCAGCGAAAGTCAACACTCGTTAAATAGTCGTTACGGTAAATTCAATAAAAGTTCCACTTCCAGTTTCACCTGAAGCTCCTAATCCAGTCTTGGTTGTAGTTAAACTCGTCCAGTTTGGGCTGCTGAAGCACGACGAAACTTGTAGTAATCTCCATGTCGTTACTCGATGGANCAGCGAAAGTCAACACTCGTTAAATAGTCGTTACGGTAAATTCAATAAAAGTTCCACTTCCAGTTTCACTTGAAGCCCCTAATCCAGTTTTGGTGGTAGTTAAATTCGTCCAGTCAGGCCTGGTGAAGTACGAAACTTGTAGTAATCTCCATGTCGTTACTCGTTGGAAGGTCGACATTAAATGGCGATTTATGTTAACTTTTTCCATCCGTTCCAACCATTTCTCCTTCTTTAGTGCCTGAAGATGGCTTGATGGCTTCGACTTGTCAAACATCCGACTGAACGCATATTCTGCTTCACTCTTTCACTCACCCTCTGGTTTTACATCATTCTCAGGGAGGATGAACTTGGGCGAAACTAATTCGACCGTTTAACCGCACTTCTGTGTAGTTATGACCTCAATAACTTAACTAAAATATAGTGGTGGAAGTTCAGGAAGAAGGAAGCTGGCCCTAACATGGAGGTGTTGCTCTGGCCATAGAGCGACTGTCATAACTGTCTCATATGCTTGGGTTAACTACCAACTGAAGCCCTTTCGTAGGATGCTAGTGCTACAGAAAACGATCCATTCTTACTCCTGTCAGCTTTCAAACCTTGAAACGAATTGATTGCCCATTTTTTTCTTTTCTATCCATTGTGGGTATGATTGACAATGTATGTGGGCTGTAATTATTGTAACGCCATCGTAGATTCTGCGATCACGACCAGTTTCACATTAAGCAATGACAGCACGCGACACATACAATACATACAAACTCTCCGAGAGACATTAACAACGACCGCAAAAAGCGAATCTACCACCACAGTCGATGAAGTGGAAGGTGACGAGACAGCGGAAGAAATCTAACTGAAATATTTGTAACTGAAATTACTCAGACGAAGACATGGGGGAATTTTGTAGAATTTCTATTAAATAAAAAGTTTTGAGTTGGAACCAGTTCATTTGGAAGAGGGTCTCCTTATTTCTTGAAAGATGCAGAGAGAACTGTAGTGTCAGTCAGAGGTGTAGATCGAACTCAGGAACCCAGAGAACACTCATCAGGTCTCTGCTATCAGCTTTGGCGCATACTCTTGACTAACCTATTTACTATGATTTGGCCCGATCCAGCACTTTTTAATGTTTTTTTTGTGATCTCCGGAACTTTAACCTCTGCTTAACGACGTTTCCATTTCTTTCTTCCAACTGCAGAGCAGTTGTGATCATCGCATTCAAAATTCTGCCACATTTTACCCTTTCCTACTATTTCTTTTCAACCATGATTTTATCATTCCGCAACTGGAGCGAAGCCGTGACTCAATGGATGGTCAGAAAAAGCAATCATTCTCCACATTCCACAAACTGTATGTATTTACGTTCATGGTGTTCAGATGGCGATGAACTGTGTCAGCTGTCCCAACGCTTGAGGCCGCATACCCTGATCGAAATTGTGTTTGTTGCGTCACGTAAGGGTTGAACGTGCTCAAGCGCTTTTCTCTTCATCGTTTGGCTATCACATCGGTTGCTGCTGTGGAATCGGATGCTCACTATGTGATCGATTGTTGTTAGTTCGGCACTGCCTTGACAAAATGCTTCTTATTCTAATTTTGGCTAACCTAACCCATATAGTCTTTAAAGGGGATTTTTGAAGACTGAGACAGCTTTTCAGAGAGCAATAATATTTTAGAACTGCAGCAGGCGCCCATATAAGCATGTGATATGACACAACATAAGCAATATTGATCACCGCAAGCGTAGCACACGCGTCGCGGCGATAGAGGTGGAGCTGCGAACGCGCGCAGCAATCTGCTCACCGTTATTTGTGAAAACAGCCTGACCACATACAGGCGATTAATCCCTTTTAATAACATGAATGTCAAACAAAAATAGCAGCTTTTAATATATCTAACTTTTAGCCAGCACACTACAATGCCGAGTCGATGATCCCTTGTCATGTAGTCAAGCAAAGCACGAGGTTAGTGATTTTATACAACAAGCAAGGAACTAACTTCCCTTATCAACTTCTTGTTCACATTGATTTTTGTTGAGATTTTTTATGAAACGCATTTGTAGGTTTGCGTGTTCGCGAATGGTCAGTACAGATGTGAATGCCCAACAGGTGTTAATCGACTTCCGGATGGGCGATGTCTGTCGGTGGACGAATGCGCTCGGCCGTCACTGAATGGTTGTCATAAAGATGCTAATTGCATCGACAAGGTATGCATAAAACATTACTTCCGTGAAACTCATTCGTTTCTGGATCCCAAACGTTAGACGAGGTACAGCCTTAAGACCATTAGCATTGAACTATCGGGCCATTAATGGTCCCCAGTTCTTCCGACCCTTTTGGTGTGGTCGCCGTGCTTTTACCCCTTACACTACCGAGATCCCTTGACCTTCTTAATGGCTGACATGAGCTGATTCCCTTNATGAAACTGATGACTATTAGGACGAACGTTTTCTCTCTTGAGTTTAGGATTCCTATTAGGGAGCGCACAAAGTGGCAAGGAATCATTGGGAATAGGGTTTCGCTCTATTGCTCTTTGATTCTGAACCCGGCATCTGAAGCTGAATACGACTATCAGCTCGAAAACCGATAGCTGTGACAGTAAGGTGCCCTAGAAATATACTATTCGGGTTTCATTAAGAGTTGGCTTGTTTCTGAACAAACAGCTTTTCGTAGACTGTTTTGTATTGGTCAGGCCATTGGGCTTTTCAAATCCCATCTTTAAATCTTTCCGGACAAAACCATGCTTCCAGGAAATTATATGATGGAAAGGAGTAGGTGTAGAATCCACACATACACAGTTTGCAGTCTTCTGGATTCAGAGGAATTTTTGGAGTTCAGAAAAAAACTTTTGTGCTCTACTATCAATCTTCCTGCCGCGATGCGTAACCATTTTTGCCAAAAAAAAGCCCTTTTCTCATTGTCGATTCACTGCAAGTAGGTAAGTTTAAGTGCTTCATCAAGTATGGGATAGAATTGCCTCGAGCCGATTCAATGCAGCATGAAAGCTACTCATCAAGTTTTATCCCAAACCTAATTATTTTTTCACCACATGTAGTCTTTCAAAGTAGTTCTCACCTAGTCAGGTCCTATCGATAGAGGTCTGCTTGCCCCTACCTGCCCAGCTTCCTAGTTAACCGTACAGGATAAAGTTCATAGTTAACAACACTGCTTTAGCAAGAAGGCTACACATGCGAATGCAAGCCTGGGTTTGCCGACGTCTCTCCGGATCGCACCAATAAACCAGGTCGGATATGCCGGAAAACAAGTAATGAGTGTGGGCAGAGAGAGACGTGAGTACAACTACCGCATTCTCATTCACAATGAATTGGTTACTGAATCTTACAAATTATTTTGAAGGTACGGTGTCGACTGTGACCCCAATGCAGCCTGCGTTGACACTCCAGAAGGATTCCAGTGCGTCTGTCAACCAGGGTTCGCCGACGTTTCTACGTCTGTCAGCAAACTGCCTGGACGAAAGGTATGTTGACTACACCAGCCAACTACTCAGAGAGCTTTTATCCATCTGTTTTTCATTCATTTGAAAACCATAAGTCAAGATGCATAGCGAATGCATACATATGAGCTTGTGCATATAAGCCTGTCATGGTTGTGCAATTAGGGCACCAATGACGTGCGCACTTGCGGAGCGGTCAACGGTGTGAGAGTGCTGTGATATGCCGATTCAGCTAGCTGGCTGTTGTTGGATGCATTGTTGAAGAAAGTTCGGTCGAAAGCTATGCAATTGCTACTCATGCACGAGACGCTTCGCGACCGCTCGCGTCCCTGGCCTTAAAGTTGCACAACCAACAGCCTGCCGGATCCAACTAAACATCAACGGGAATATTGCCCCTTTTTCAGTGCGTCGAGGTGGTGAACGAATGTACAACAGGGAAAGCTGACTGCTCCTGCAACGCTGACTGTTTTGACCGTGATGAGGGCTACGAGTGCAAGTGGGTATCATAAGTGTTTTTCTCCAGAGCTCTTCGAAACCCTAACATTCAGGTGCCGTCCCGGATTTGTTGATGCTTCCCCAGATACAGCTAAATATCCAGGACGTGTTTGTAACCGACCGAAATCTCCTGAATATTATGGCCAAACAAGTCGACAGGTTTGCAGATATTTTATAATACCTTTCGAAAATATTTTAATAAACACGTTCGTGGTCATGGCTTCTGAAGAAGAGAAAAGTTGTGGCTGACTGATGAACGTCTTGGTGGGACTATCTAGTAAGGCGAATCGAGGTTGTCTCAAAAAAGCACCTCTTTCAGGTCGATTTGCTGTAGAGAGGACTGACTCCTAAGTCGGGGCTATTACAGCTGACCCAGAGCTTCGCCCTGTGCAATCAGAATAAAAGTTTCCTCCAACAGTCAAAACAAATGTGTCCCTAAGTCAGAGCGCGCCTCCCGCGCATACGCAGAATTTTGGTGAAAGACATGGCAGTTGATACCTCGCAATAGTGGGCGTCAGCGTTTGGTACTCTATCGAAACTATTATAACCCCACGCCACATATTCAGCCACGCAGGACTGGGATCTGACCAATACGGTCTGTAATGAATCTTCATGATTCTGTGCCTCACGCGAAACCCGTCGTCGCTTCAACCCATTCCGATAACGTGCAACTGAAGTAATGACCGGTATATCACAACAGTTGTGCCATTTAATAATTCGGTGATGTCCAGCTGCGTTGTAAAAAACCTTCTCGAGCATGTAACTCACTGATGTCTGGATTTCTTATAACCGCAGAGGTCAAGTTCTGAGGAATTGGAGGGACCTTATCGAGTTCCCGCATTGGGCAGAGCTTCGTGGTTGGAACAACCTATAGGTGATCACCTTTTCTGATGCCGCCCTCCATTCAGTCCAGTTGCCCTTTCGCATTGCCTAAAGTAAAAATCAAAAACAGCTATGTCGGCAAATTCCATAGCGAGACATTGCGACTAATTTTGACTCAATTCGGTAAAATTTTTAGCCACAATGCACTAATTCGAACCAATGTGGTCCTAACGAGGAATGTCGCTTCAACGCCAAAGGCGAAATGGTCTGTCAGTGTAAACGTGGTGCTGTCCAACAAAGCGATGGCAAATGTAAAGGTTCGTAATTAATTCGCTCCTTGATAGAAACTCGGCTCAACACAGGACGTCTTGACCAACAGCAAATGCTTGCTTCATTGTTTGGGCTCGGAATATCCTTGAGTAGTGTTTCGAGCCGTAAATATTGTGAAATATTTAGCCAAATGACTGAACCAAGCAATAGATTTGGATAAATGGTCCTATCGATACTTTAGTACTGTACAGAACTTTACGCAATTACAGTAATTGACTTTTTGATTTACTAGGACGTAAAAGTTCGCTTTTTTTAGTGTTCTCACAATGTGAACGTGCCAATGAATGCGACCGAAATGCAATTTGCTCCAACACCTATGATGGATTCAAGTGCCAGTGCAAGGTGAAAATCTCTTTCGAAATTTTTCAAAGAAAAACCGTCAACATTTGTTTTTCTTTTCTTGATAGGACCTCATAGGACATCAGTTCTTGTGTTCCTTGCGGTCCTGTCACGAAAACAAGCAATTTCATCTCACTATACTGCCTCCATAATGCGGATTGTTTATGTTTATAGTTTCAAGCGTAAGAATGTAATTGACACACTTCTTCGATAGCAATTTCTTGTCCAAGCACTTATTCCGCCCTGAGATCTAGTTCTACAGTTGAAGAAACGCAATAGCCCATACGCGGCTTCCCTTTGGACTGGTCACTATCTGCCCACCTTCTCCCCGAATGTCATAATTCAACTATTTGTAATCGATCTTCAGCGATAAGATCTGCCGCCGGTTTTTCCACTCTGAGAATCAATTCGCCCAGAAGTGAGCAAAGATTAATTCCTGCCTGAGGACGGCATTGTCCAATTTTAATCACGTGCGTATTGATGAAAAACCCACCCCAAAAATGTGGAAACGAACAAATATTCAGTGCGGGGAACTCGTACGCCGCCGCGCGCGACGCTTGTGGTGTCGCGCGACGGTGTGCGCGCGCCGCTTCTATTCGCTTATTTGTCTTACCAATGAAGTTTGAATAGGCAGCACAGCTAGTTCACCAGTAGCGCTAGACCTAATCACCTCACAACCTCCCGACTTTTGCTAGTTGTCTCGTTGTCCCCTAGTTAGTTGTCTCGCTGCATGGCATGCTACTCGTCACTCCTAATGCTAGACTATGAATCGTAGTTTTAGGCCGGATATATCGATCTCTCACCCGACCCGTATCATCTACCAGGACGCAAATGCGAAAAGAGTGAGTTTGAACCGAATCTTTCTTCTTAACTTAAGCATCCGGTCTTGGTATATGTATTGATTGAACTTATTGATTCGTCATTTCAGTCACCAACGAGTGTGCAGACGGAACAGCTGACTGTTCACCGTATGCCGATTGTATTGATCTGCGACAAGGCTATATGTGTAAATGCAAGATGGGATACACAGATGTCTCATCCAGGTATCAACTTCAGCCCGGTCGAAAATGCTCACAAGGTAGGTTATCGCACGTGCTTTTATTTTATATGCAAGAAACCATATAAATTATAGTAGCAGCGAAAATTGAGATGGAAATATAGCTATGTTACAAATTCTTGTAATTGCTGTTTCAACCCCGTAAAATGTCGTGAAACTCGTCCCACGCGGTATCGCATCCCACGGCGCTTCGTGACGCGCGCGACGATTCGCGGCAGTTTGTGCAAACAACAAGAGAAATTGGGACACCGGGCAGGTGTATCCAAATTCGCGTGCAGCGATGCCTCCCCTAGGGGGTTGGCCACGTGACGAATAGTTCGTCGAACTCGGTAGGCTATTTCTGGGTCTGGACCACCACTCTTGAAAAATCACGTATCCTTCAAACAAACAGCAGGCTCATTATACTCAAACATTATAGGCATGCTGCCTTACATCTGTTGTGCAGCCTGTCAATGAAACTTGTTGCCATGACTGTTATTCAAAATTGCTACTCGAAAAAAGGATACTGAAAAAAAGGGTATGGGTAGAAGGTACTCACCATGACTTCGCTTTCACGTAGCATTCAAATACGGGTCAGGAGGCGCCATCGCCAGCGTGGATCTAGATCACAGCGTGCGACAGGCTCGACATGGGTCAACATCTGCATTTCTGACCTGCGAATCTGATTTTATTTTGACTCAAATTCGACTCACAATTTCAGCTGCCAACCAGTGCTCAGACCGCAAATTGAATTCCTGTGATGATAATGCGGATTGTGTTCAATTGCCGGATGGCTATACATGTAAATGCTTTTCGGGATATGTGGACGTTTCTTCTAACGCCAATCTTGAACCGGGACGAGTCTGCACACTCAGTACCGTATGGTAAGTATACCACTATAAGGAAAGAGGGAATGAGGTAAATTACATAGGAAGCAAAAAGAATTAAAGTGGAAGAAGGCAATAATGAACCATTGAATTCTCAAAAGAGATTTCAGCCCAGTCCAGGCCACCGATCTCGTGTTCCTTATCGACGGTTCCGGATCAATCGGATCATACATTTTCCAGACTGAGGTGAGCGTTAGGACTTATAAGTAATTACATTTCCGCGTTTTCTGGACTGATCAGCTTGCCTTGATTTGAAAAGAGCAAAGTTGGTGAATCCCAGTTTAACTTCTAGTCACCATAATGTGGCAGCTGCACCGTTCGCCCTTTCTCTCGCTTCTTGTTGGGAGGATATGGGCGGTACTGAGAGAACCCCTCCCCTGCAGGACGAATGGTTTATTGCGAACCTTGAAAATCGCTGAAATCGAATTCGGCACATGGTGCATACCGGGATGCCCGAGAATGTAGCTCTGTTTCAATTGCAGGTACTCCGATTCCTTGCCGAATTCACTGAACTTTTCGACATTGCTCCGGACAAGACTCGGGTATCAGTCGTTCAGTACTCCGATCAAATACGGTAAATACTTCTTTTTGGGGTCTTTGGAGATAAATGTTAATTCCTCAAGAAAAAACTGCTATCTGATGATTGATTGCCACAACACCTGTTAAGTAGACAATCCTTATCCCTACATTTGTCATTTCAATAGCTGAATATTCCAGACATGAATTCGGATTGGATGACTACAAAGACAGCCGATCCCTACATGAAGCAATCAAGAATATTGAGTGAGTTAATCAGAACTTATAGATTATTCATATTTAGGGTCCCAAATATTAGGGGGATTTAAAAACTGGTAGCGATAGCACGCGCGCAAAATTAGTCTCTCTGAAAAACGTATCTAGAGGGTGAACAACAAGTGGAAGATACTCGATTATAAGATGAAAATTTTCATACAATGTGCTCCCTCTTCCGTAACAGTAGGCTTTGTGATTCTTGGTATCCCTACTTTAATGATCCATCCAAAATGCTGAGATCTACTCCACCCCTTTACTTCGAGCCCTCAGAAACTACTATTTCTTCTACTTCCTTTCTGAAAAAATTCGTATTTTCCAAAATCTGGGACATCCAAATACCCTGACTACTAGGAATCGAGCATGCCTAATTAAGGTCAGCATGGCCTCCACCTTTACTGCAATTGAGCTTTTACTAAATTAAGGTTTTACCTCATAATCAGTAATTTATACAGTATAGTGAGAGCTCCCATCACCACAAAGGAATATAACCCTTATTAATTAGAGGACAAAGAGAGCAAGTTGAGGTTCCTCGTGCTCCTAGTGGTATTTTTGAATTATTCTCGTCTGGGAGGATAAAAGCACTGACTTTTACAATTCGGAATGGAAGTCCCATGCGCGGGCGCATCTGTCAGACGGGATTAATTAACGGCAAAATCTTTATCCCTTAACCTTTAGTTACCTAATGAGCGTCGTTGTTTTACATTCTATGTACCTTCAAATAAATTTGAACACATTCTCGTTAAGGTACCTAACCGGTCTTACACGAACCGGTGCTGCTATCGAACACGTAGCTACAGAGGCTTTCAGTGAACGCCGTGGCGCCCGACCTTTGTCGGATCGTGTCGCACGTGTTGCTATCGTCATTACGGACGGTAGAAGTCAGGTGAGCGACTGCTGTGATTACTTCTTGCCTGCAACGAAGAGCGCTTTAGATGCTTTCACTGCTTTGGGCATTTTGTAAAAAAGTCAATTTCAGCCAAAGTAAATATTAGGCATTTGAATTGAATGGCATAAAGCCGACCCTCCTAATGACGGCTCATGACGATTTTCAGTTGACACTCAGAATTTTATAGCTTCCATGAGTCTTTCTTATCTTTTTACGAAAATGTTCACCGTGTTTGAGTGCCGTTATACTGGGAGTATTACGAATTCAAGCTCAAAATCTCAGTACCAAGAAAAGCGCTGCTTTTTGAAAATGGATATAATTGTCAAACAAATTGCTATTGAGGGGAAGAATGATTGCTGACTCTTTCAGGACAACGTGACCACGGCTGCAAACAATGCTCGTCGACAGAATATTCAGTTGTTCGCTGTTGGTGTCACTAATCACGTACTTCAAGCTGAATTGGAAGAGGTACGGTGCTCCCCTAAGAGTGTTGCATCTGTAAATTTTTTGTTTACAAATCTACAACTTTGTGGTACTCTGCTTTGACACATAGGAATCTAAACACTCAAAAATATGAAGCAGCTTTCCCTGCTTTAAGGCTTCTGGCATCAGGAGGTTTCGGTAATGCTTCATCTGGATATCCATCCTTTTTTAGATTACTGGTGCCAAGGATCGAACCTTCCACGTGAATGCATTCGAAGATCTCAATACAAGACTTCGAAGTGCCATTCAACGTGTAACCTGCCCTCAGAACGAAGCCCCGAAGCCATCTGGTGGTAAGTCAATCTGTCCAGAATGCAAGAGATGTAATAGGTTTATTTATGTTTTATATTGAGGATAGTTGGTAAGAAAGCCACGCGACGAAAAATTAGAAGTGTTAAAGGATTTGTATAAATAGTGTGAAACGATAGCAAGGGTGATTGACTTCTCAGACGTTCTTCGAGTAGTCAGCACATGACTAAACAAGGGGTTTCGCAATAGTACCATCAATAATTGGACAACACCAGATCCGTACCACCGCCTTCTACTAGGGACGCCAAAGGGAAAACGCAAGTGGAGCGGCTGAAATTATCAGCGACCTATTCGCTGGAAGTACTGTTCACTGAACAACTGTCAACAACTGGTTGAACTGCTTCACTCAACGGATACTACCTTACGAGTTACGCAAGCATCGACTCATAGTTTTGTGGGCGTGAAGGACCCACCCACTATGAGTTGCGCCTACTACATAGTCATAGCTGCCGCTTAACCCTATGAACCCCAGCATTGACAATTCGAAAAGGCGTCCGAAACCATAACTCAGGTACCTACAGAACGACAACGCACTCGGAGTTTCGCTTTAGACATACGTCAAAGTTCACCGACCTCGCTTGGTTCCAGGCTTTTCATCATCCACACTCGTTGAACGTTGCCCCTTCTGGTTACCATGTGCTCCGCCTTCTCCAACATTCTTTTGTGGGAAGAAAGTTCGTAACTTAATGTGGTCTAAAAAAGGCAGTCAATGATTTTTTCAAGTCAAAGCTTCCTGACTTTTAGATAGAAGGTATAAGTGATTCTTTCGATGGATAGTGAAGGCTGCCGATCTCCTTGGTGAATATATTTCTGATATTTGATAAATTTGGAAAATTTAGAATCGAATCCAAAATGACTTTTATTTTGTCGCAAAACTTTCTTGCCAACCAATTACATCTACCGGTTTACAAGAGAACCACGAACGATAGGATAAATTTTTTCCGCTCAGGACCATGTGATCCTTCATCACACGCTGGATGCGATCGCGCTCTCAATCAAGTATGTATGTTGAAGAATGGCCAATACAGCTGCACATGCCCTGAAGGCTTTGAAGAGCATCCTGTCACTAAGGCTAGTTCTGAGTAGATTTTTTAGACAGAAGGAAAGTCATCAATATCATGTTTTAGGCCTGTGGTGGCGACGTTTGCAATCCGGAGATCCCTACATCATGTCCTGATCCGGAAATCTGCGAAAAGACTCCGTTCGGTAACTGGCGCTGTACTTGCCCAGCTGATCTCGGCTGGAGAGACCTGCACACCGGAGCATGCAGTACGTCTTCTTAAGCAATTGAAACTACGAAACCCTCCGGAGAGCCGAAAAAAAAACTTTCAGAAATCGGAGAACCTCCGCAAGATCTGTCAGAATCGCAGGATGAGTGTGACCCTGCTGACTCGGCTAGCTGTGGTCCAAACGCGAAATGTGTTCGAGGACCTGGTGGAAGCGTGGCATGCCAGTGCGAGTTAGTGTTTAATTTTTTCTTCAGGAATTCTCTTTCGAGATTTTTTGGAGCAAGAAAGTGGGTTTTCAAAAATGTATCAGTAGTTATTGGAAGGTGCAAAGAATGAATCCAGAGAGGAAAAGTAAAAAGTCTCAGCACCTAATTCGTACAGCATACTCTCGTACTTGTTCACTTACTGAGATGTGGGGAACTACTCGAATAAGAGAAGGGCCAACTGACTTTGCACCTGTTCTAAGAGCACATCTATTTCTTTAAATGAAAAGGCGTTTACTTATTCTTTGTTTAGTATGATTTCTCACACAAAACTGAATTTTTGTAGCCCTGGCTATGTTATCAATATCAAGTCGGATAAATGTCAAAAGCCAGGCACTTGTGATCCATCGGTGCCGAATTCCTGTGATGCCCGCAAGAAGGAAAAGTGCCTTCTTGATTCAAAGTAAGTGAATCTTATTTTGAATAAAAGTGTCGATATCATTCACGATTTTGCACAGCAAGGGCTATGATGGGCAAAGAATAACGGTCATTGAATCCACAAGCAATCAAAGCTTCTTTGCAGAATAAGTTTATTGAACACTGATTTTGCTTGACCTTTCAACAAGTTCTTCGTTCTCAAAGGTCTGAAAGCGCCTAAAACTTCAGAGTGTTACCCATTGCGCTCGATGCAGGCCAACTCTTAACTAGTTATGGCTTTTAACAACGACGAAGTCGTCGTTACATCAGGCATAATAAACATTCCGCCATTAAAAAACCTGTTCGGCCAGAAGTATTGGCTACTTATGGGACAAATGCCTTGGTTTGGTTTCAAGAAAGTCGAACATTTAGTTGACCATTGTTGCATTGATTTGATTTCCTACAAGTAACGTGGTATGTGAAGTCCTAGCTGAGTGTTAACGTCGTTATCGTCGTTATGAAATACGTTTTCACTACAGGCACGATCTGGTAACGATACCCTAAGCGGCCTCTTCCTGATCATTTGATAATTCTACCATTTTTTAGACGATCAGTTCGGTATCGGGTTGTTCCACGGTGATAAAACAACTCTCCTTTCTGTAGTTGAATAGGTAAAATTTAACACTTATCAAAGCCCCATTAAGGTCTCGAGGGAAAATCCATCACACGGCGCATTCCACAAATTTCCGCCTTTGTGCGTTTGTTTTTTTGAGCATGCACAACTAAGTTGGATAACAACAATAGGGACGGAAGTGAAGTAGTGGCAAGTGGCTGTTCATGGGTTCGAATCCCGGATCCGCCTAGGCCAA